CATCAGCTGTATTATTATTATTTTAATAATATTATTACATTAATAATAATGTATTATTATTACTTTAAACACTGATCTATACGTCTGGTAGCTTATAATAAGGTTTTATACCATGCTGGTATTAGGTAACTAGAATTCTGCAATTACTTCTTTTTATCTACTGTTGAGGATATGTAAGACAAATGTAAGGTTTTGAGGCTAAGTAACGAAGATAGTTACAAGATACGAGCCAAATGGTGTTGAGATTGCAAAACGGATTATGGCTAGAACTTAAGCCAAAAAATCAATGCGTAAATGTTCGCATATATGAGACTGGGATTTATTTTTCGAAAAGTTAGCAATAAAATTCGCTTTTTAGTTCTTTATTTTTAAAATTAAGACCAGTGATTCTGTCTAACGAAGCTGCAAGCTAAAACACCGTTATCCTATAATGTTCATCTGTAGCTTGACCCTAAATACTCGTTTATTAAACGAATTTATTGTTAGAGTTCATTAAGAATCAACTTTGTTGAAGGCAGAGTTTCCAACAAATACCTTCCTGTGATTGGCTGTTGCGGGGAATGCCAACGCTTATATGAATAAAATGCAAAATAAGAAATACGTTCTTTTGCTCAATAACCTTTTTGTTGTTGTACAAAAGAACAACAATTTCTGTTTTATACAAGACAGAAATTTCCATCTAACTGAATAATGTAGACCAATAAGAGGACGGAGGCTTTGTATCGCCGATATTATTTGCGTGAGGCAACACCCACTGATGACGTCACAAGTTAGGTAGCCAGCCCATGTTTCTGTAACACTCGTTACGTCCTGCAGTATTTAATTATCACTATATTAATACTTTTAAATACTTAACATTTCACTTTTTAGATAGATTAAAGTTGAAACAGAATGTCATAAGCATCGATGGTGTGCTGAATAAAGATGATTTATTAAGTGGATGGAGCCTTTAGCTGATCCCTTCCTGTGATTGGCTGTTGTGTGAATGTCAACAAAGAATATCTACCAATCATATGCCATTTATTATGCACCCCATACCCTTTTGGGGCGGAGCTTGGAACCTCCTACCCGAGCACAACAACCCGCCTTATGGGTTGCTGTTTGGCTATTTATAGTGCGTTGGAAAAAAAACTAGATGGCGTTAGTGGTATTTCGTGGGGTAATTTGTTATAAGTGTAATTTGATGTCAACAGATGGCGTAAGCTGTATCTTATGGCCACTATTGACCAGCCAGTTGATAGTGTCACGGATGGGTCAGTAGACCAGCAGGGACAGGAAACCGGAGCTGCAGTTAAAGCAGGAAACTCTGTATATAGTTGGAGGCTCTCAAATGGGTGTTCGACTTTACAGACTGAGATGCTAGCCATTCAAAAGGCTTTGGAACATGCTCTTGCTGAACACCGACAACATGTTATCATCCATACAGATTCGAGAACCTCCATTGAAACCTTGCAACAAGAACACATATGTGATAACATCCATCTGATCACAAATGTCTTGTCATTCATGCACACACTCAAACGACAAGGCCGACGGGTACTTATCAACTGGGTGCCAAGTCATGTGGGACTAATAGGAAATGACATTGCAGACGAAGCTGCAAAACTTGCTACTAAGAGGGGAAATGTAGACATTTACATACCACAGAGTCTCTCCCAGATAAAGAAAGTAATTCGAAACAGAGCAATGCGATAGCTGTACAGTGACCACAACACAGCAGTTGCAACATCAGGATCTGCGGGTTGGTACAAGAATTCAACCAACTACGAACCACTTAGTTTGATGAAAGGGGGCAGTAGAACAACAGAAGTGCACTTACATCGCATCAGGCTTGGATACCCATGTGCATGGGAAATAGGCTTACAGGTTCCGGAAGATGAGAGGAAATGTCAACACTGTGGAGGATTGCCCGACAGACCGCTGGAACATTATCTAACACAGTGCACAGTTACAAACCCGTTCAGATTTCTCCTTAGATTCAACAGAGCAGAAGAAGTTGTTAAACACATATGGCAAAATCTTACTGAAGCGACCATACGAGTCATGAATACTCATCCTCCGCCCAAGTAAACCAGAAACAAGCATCACTTAGTGGGCCAGCCAGAGGCTTAGGGCCCGCGCAGGATTATCCCTGCTAAAAAAAAAAAAAAAAAAAAAAAAGTTGATAGTGTTCTCTTCTGCCGACAGATGGCATCAGCTGTATTATTATTATTTTAATAATATTATTACATTAATAATAATGTATTATTATTACTTTAAACACTGATCTATACGTCTGGTAGCTTATAATAAGGTTTTATACCATGCTGGTAACTAGAATTCTGCAATTACTTTTTTTTATCTACTGTTGAGGATATGTAAGACAAATGTAAGGTTTTGAGGCTAAGTAACGAAGATAGTTACAAGATACGAGCCAGATGGTGTTGAGATTGCAAAAGGGATTATGGCTAGAACTTAAGCAAAAAAATCAATGCATAAATGTTCGCATATATGAGACTGGGATTTATTTTTCGAAAAGTTAGCAATAAAATTCGCTTTTTAGTTCTTTATTTTTAAAATTAAGACCAGGGATTCTGTCTAACGAAGCTGCAAGCTAAAACACCGTTATCCTATAATGTTCATCTGTAGCTTGACCCTAAATACTCGTTTATTAAACGAATTTATTATTAGAGTTCATTAAGAATCAACTTTGTTGAAGGTAGAGTTTCCAACAAATACCTTCCTGTGATTGGCTGTTGCGAGGAATGCCAACGCTTATATGAATAAAATGCAAAATAAGAAATACGTCCTTTTGCTCAATAACCTTGTTGTTGTTGTACAAAAGAACAACAATTTCTGTTTTATACAAGACAGAAATTTCCATCTAACTGAATAATGTAGACCAATAAGAGGGCGGAGGCATTGTATCGCCGATATTATTTGTGTGAGGCAACACCCACTGATGACGTCACAAGTTAGGTAGCCTATAGCCCATGTTTCTGTAACACTCGTTACGTCCTGCAGTATTTAATTATCACTATATTAATACTTTTAAATACTTAACATTTCACTTTTTAGATAGATTAAAGTTGAAGCAGAATGTCATAAGCATCGATGGTGTGCTGAATAAAGATGATTTATTAAGTGGATGGAGCCTTTAGCTGATCCCTTCCTGTGATTGGCTGTTGTGTGAATGTCAACAAAGAAGATCTACCAATGATATGCCATTTATTATGCACCCCATACCATCTGTGGACGGAGCTTGGAACCTCCTACCCGAGCACAACAACCCGCCTTATGGGTTGCTGTTTGGCTATTTATAGTGCGTTGGAAAAAAACTAGATGGCGTTAGTGGTATTTCGTGGGGTAATTTGTTATAAGTGTAATTTGATGTCAACAGATGGCGTAAGCTGTATCTTATGGCCACTATTGACCAGCCAGTTGATAGTGTTCTCTTCTGCCGACAGATGGCATCAGCTGTGTTATTATTACTTCCGAATTCCCTTTAAACACTGATCTACAAATCCCTTGGCTTATGATAAGGTTTTATACCATTTATGATAAGTATTAGATACTGGAGTTCCGCAATTACTTTTATTTATCAACTGTTCAGGATATCATCATATAACGTCTGGTTAGGACGTACTGCTCTCGATTGATGAAGATTAAGCCACCCAAGAGGTGGCACGGGCATGAATAGCCCGTAAATACTGCTCTTGTAATATTATTCAGGGGGGGGTGGGAGAACTATCAAGTGAAAGCGCCAAGCCATTACGACTATATAGCACTCGGAAGGGATCAGGATACGGATTTGGGATGGAACGGGGGAAATGAATGGTGCCCAACCTCTTGGGCGGTCGGGGATTGAACGCGGACCTGTAGGAAACGAGACCGTCGCTCTACCGTCCAGCCCAAGTGGTTAAGCGTAATATTATTAAACAACAATTTATGCCTATAATAACAGCATTTCACACTAAAAATACTTGGATATATTGAAATTTGGTAGTGAATTCCAATCTAGGAATCTCCTATGACTAAACTGTACTTTTTAATCATTTTTACGTACTTACTACTTATTATTAAATTATTATGTACTTATTATAATAATTAAATAAATTATTTTATTTAATATTTAAATTAAATGATAAAATAATAGGTAATAATAAATCATTGTGTAGGGGGACAGGCAGCCAGTGTATATATACATGTTAGGCTTATACCAAGGTGCCACAAAGGTGCCACAAAGGTGCCAAATTAAAGACTGGGAGCTGCCGGGGCGGGCCCAAGGGCTGCTGGCGGCCCTGGCCAGGCTGAACTTCCGCGCCCTTATAATCACCATTGTTTAATAATCTTCACAGGGAGAAACAACTGTAAATATAGGAATAGTTTATTACAACATACACGGTAAAGAAAACAGCTCGGACACTAAGGAAATAAAGCTGCCGAAAAAACATTAAAGTCCACTTCAAGTTCAAGTATGTTTATTGAGACAATAAAAAAATACATCTCAAAGGGATAGAGTAGCTTAGGCTATTTCTACCCCCCCCCCTCTACTCCAAGTCCCTCAAGGGGCGCACAAATTCAGTGAGTACAAATACACAAATCACAATACAAGAATCCCATTTAACATAGCAGGTTAAAATAGGAAGCACAGCATATAAGTGTTACAAGTGAGTTACAAGTTACAAGGGAACAAGTGAGAAGGCGGTGGAGGCCAAAACCGGAATTGTACACTGATTTAATGCAGATATGTCGTGATTATCATAATATTAAGATGTTAAGGCACGAAATTTCGAATCTTTGCGCTGCTGCTGACAGTCCGAGGCAAGACAGTTGTAATATGTAGGGGTATGTGAGGCGTGAAGAAGGAAGGAAGGGGAGGTGAGGAAGGAAAGGAAGGTGAGGAAGAATGGAGAGTTAGGTTAGGTAGGGAGAGAAGGAGGGTAGAGGGCGGGAGGGGGCGGCGGCGGGCGGGCAGGCGCCAGGTTGAGCCAGGCGTCAGAAGTGTCGCGTCAGTGGAGGTGAGAGGACGTGTCGCTGCTCCCTCGTGTTATTTTCCCCGCTGCCACAGTTACTTCCCAGCCGCTGTGTGCCTCGGTGATGGCGCCGAGCCTTCCTGGATAAGTAACGCGTGTGACCATCACAGTCCCAGTCGAGTGGGAGACATGTGCTAGAGCTGGGTGGTGGTGTTGTTGTTGTTGAAGGTGCTCTTGCAAGATGCTTGGACCAGTGGGCATGCCCCGCGTCGGCCACTCGGTGACCTGGTCTGACCGCGAGGTCAGCATCTTATCGCCGCCCGTCCCGCATATCCTCGTCAGCGCCGAGAACGCCGCGATCTCGCGCCTCGACCGATACTTCGACCCTCAGCCGCCGCCTCGGCCGGCCAAGCCCGTGGGTCTGCTGCCCAAGCCGTGCCCCGCCCCGGCGGCCTCCAAACCCAACACACTGTCAAGTCTCATGATCGGGCCGCCGCCGCTTATCGACGGCGCCGCCTGCAAGACGTCCACGTGGACGTACAAGCAAGTGACGACGGCACGTAACTCCGGGATGTCTGATGTGGAGAAGGGCGTGAGGTTCCGGCCGGAGCGGCGGGAGAGGCGGCCGGTGCAGAAACTACAGTGGCGGGACAGTGCTTGGTCGAGGGGCTTCAGCGCCCCTAAGGACGACTATCTGGACCTCGACACCCGCATAACGGCCTCGTCCTCGGCCGACGGGTCTCCGCGCCACGCCATAAAGCGGGTCCTGCTCCTGACGGAGAACTACCAGTACCGCGACGCCGCCTCCTTCATCCATCGCCTCCCCGCCGCCACCTTCAAGGTCATAGTGACGGACCTGCCCATCGAGGTGCTGGTGGACGCCATGCCCCACTCACTGCCCATCGTCGAGGCCCTCTTCTGCAAGGTGAGCGACACGGCGCCCGTCGTGGTCGGCTCCACCCGCATCCTGCGCCCGGAGGCCGTCGTCTGGCAGATGGTGCGCTTCTTCGCCCAGCAGGAGGAGTGCCTGACGGGGGACATCCGATGGGAGTTCTGCGGACCCTTCGTCACCTCCTGCAAGAAGGTGCTGCGCGTCATCGCTCGCTCCGAACCCAAGATTCGCAAGATCTTGCAACAGAGGCGCAAGCAGCTGGAAAAGGCCATCGAGGGCATGGGCCACCATGGCCTCGTGGGCACCTCCGACGAGTCCCTCCAGAGCCTCCACGACGCCCTCAAGCTCGAGTTCGAGAAGGTGGTGAAGTCGTACACTCAGGCGCTGGAGAAGCTGGAGGAGCTGAGCCTGAGCAACAAGGCGTCGCTGCAGCGTAGCATCAGCCACGGCCCGGCGCCCATCCAGGCGTCGCACCAGCGGCAGCTGTCCATCACGCAGGAGGAGGTGCAGCAGCGCCTCATCAAGAACAAGACGCTGCTCAACGTGGTGGAGCCCACGCTCGGCAACCACTCCCTCGACCTCCTCCTCGGCATCCTCCAGCGGAGGATCGAGTACGACAAGGAGACACTCTTCCAGTTCACGCAGCTGCGCAAGGAGGCCAAGGAGGTGGATGGTAACGCAGTCATCGCGCCTATCCTCATGCGCTACACGCACGGATGTGAACAGGTGAGATGCGCATCTGGGCGGCGCATTAGCGCTTCAGGTGTCTGCTTCACCAGACACGATGTCAATGTTTTGATTAACATAAGTGTCCTGAGGGAGTTCTATTGGGTTCTCAGGACCGTCCCAGGTCTTGAGGGAGGGACCCTATTGGTCCTTACGAGACCGCCTTGGGCTGAGGGAGGGACCCTATTGATCCTTACGAGACCGCCTTGGGCCTGAGGGAAGGTCCCTATTGGTCCTTACGAGACCGCTTTGGGCTGAGGGAGGGACCCTATTGGTCCTTACGAGACAGCCTTAATTACTATCCACCAACTCATATGCTTATATATCCAACTAATGCTTGAAACTTACCAGTGTCGGCTCCCATAATGACAACTTGTTCTATAGATCTGTTACCCTCTATTTCCATACCAAAGTTGTCCCATATCTTTTCTAAATCTAAACTTATCTTTGTTTCGTGTTCTAACTTAATTGGGTTTGCTATTTTTAACACTTGCTGAAATAGTGTTTTTTGTGTACAAAATGATCCAAATAACTCATATACACCTTTCGTTCATTTATACACTTGGGTCCCTGCTTTTCTAGAGTGTATATTTATGAGTTGTTAAACGTCTCTCCTCGTGAGAGACGTCCCTAATTCCCAGGATTAATGAGTCATATAATACTGTTTACTTCTCACAGAATTTATATTCTATAATAAGTGTCATAATCCAAGATAGGTCTGGCGAGGGGAAGGGGAAGGAGTAACAGGTGACTTTCAGCTTTTTAATGAGGTTTTAAGATATAAATGCTAGTGATGTATTTTGTTGGTCATATGTTACTTTTATTTAGGTCCCTGTTTATCATGAGTGTCAGATCATTTTCACAATCAGATTTGCCCATTTCGAGGTGATGGTGCAGGGTGGGGGTGATGGTGCAGGATGGGGGGGT